CGTATTCAGACAAAAGCACAAACTTTTATAATATTTTTAAAAAAAACTTATACACCCATTATAGCTGTACTACTGCTTCGCAAGACTAGTGCAGAGCGAATTCGAGAAATGTCTCTCATTCTACATTCACGGCGACTCACTTCTTTCCAGTGTGGAATAAACTGCAAGCTCTCAAACGGGTATTTACTACTGCTGTTATATTATTCAACTACATGTGCAACTAAAGATGCGGCACGTGGGAATAATCCGGTAACAGTATCAACACGGGATCCAAACATTAACTATCCTGATGGTTTGGTTTCCTGGCATATCTGGTAGCAGTCAAAAATAGCACTAATTTTCCAATTTATTAATGTAAATAATGCGGCTTTTTGATTTTTTCATTCTTAGACTAATTTAAAAATTATCAAAAACATGACATAACGTAGCTGAGCTTTCAAAGAGTGGAAAAGAGACCTCGTTGCTGACCCGTTCATAAAAGTCATGATGCTTTTTTTTGGCCTCTTCGGCTTTTAAAATTCGTTCGGGTGTTTTTCGAGCTTCCGCACATGCCATCGTTCGATCCATTTTATCCTTCATCGCGTAACATTTTTTAACCTCCTCAATAAAATCGGTTGATATAGACTGTCAATACTCCTCAATAAAATCTGTAGATTTAGATTATCGGTGCTAAGCCACGTGCTAAATTTTGGACATCATGTTTATGGAAAAACACCACTAGAGGCGTACAGCAGCGCAACAGTCTGTACTTCCGGTCATCATTTTTGCACAAAAAGCTTCATTAAAGCTTTGGCGAAAAAAATGTGGTTGATGATCTAAGTAGTGTCAAGAATCGTTGTATTGCTTCTCTGATTGGGTAAACAAATAATCATCGACGCCTGAATAGTGCCGAAAGCATTAAACTGCATCATCTGATTTCTTAATTCGAGTAATGATCTTGCAACACAGTCAGCATTAAAATTTGTGGCAAGTCAATTAGTAGTTCAAAAGAGAAAAAACTCTGCCACGGATAAGCAGTTCGCCACTTTATGCTACACGCTCATCAAAAGTGTCTGAACGGCAAGTTAAAACTATTTCACTTTTATCATTTTCCTTAGCGTCAAAAACAACCTTCATAAGCCGTGGGAAATCTTCCTGAATCCAGCTTTTCATCGGTGCAACGACTCGCTCGAATGCGTCCAGTTGAGATTCACGTTCTTTCTGCGCAACTGACACGCACACATTTGCGGTTGCTTGCAGCGTCTCGTAGAAACTCCCCGAGACAAAATAATGCATGTACTGTAACAGAAACTTTTTGCCTTTTTGTATACGGCAGTGGAGTTTTTTTTATTTTTATGCGTTTTTGTATCTTCAGGCAAATGCAGTAATGAGTAGTGCAGTTATGCATCTTGCGCGATTTCATCTAGCAGACGTTTGCTGTTAAGAATTTTCACAGCCATACTTTTTGGTGCAAGCAAGATTAGTCAATATGTTCCTACAAAATATCCCACCGGGAATTCGGGCCCAGTACTTGAAACATGAGATACAAGAGGACTGAATTTAAAGTTTTAGAATTGCGCAAGAACAGAAAATATTCTCCGAAAATCTTAGCTACCTCTTCCGATTCCCGAATTAAAAATTTCCCACCTAAAGTTGTATTTGCCCGTACATGGAAATCTACCGGACATGAAACTGAATTTGAAATTCCAGAATTGCATATTAGCAGAAAGCATCATTCTGAATTCGCAGACTTTCACCTTTTTCTGATCCCTAAAGCAAAAAGTTTCTTGCCAAAGCCCATAATGTGAGATTTAGACGTTCTGGAAACAGTTTATTTTATAATGATTCCACATGAGCGGGAAGCATTCTTAAAAATATCAGTCTTATAATCTTTTCAACTTCTGAGTTAGAAAATTTCTGGCCAAAACATTCATGTACCCGTACGTTAGGCGTACTTATGAACGAGAGCCAAATTTGAGTTTTTGGGATCACGCACAGGCAGAAAATATCCTTCCAAAATTTCTGCTTTCTAATTTTACTCACTTCCGAATTAGTGATTTTACAGCCACAATTTTCGCGTTGAAATTAAACTTGCGGGATCACACGTAGGCAAGAAACGTACTCCTGAAATTCCAGCTTTCTAACTTTTCTAGTTCCTGAGTTGAAAACCGGGACAAAACAAACTGTAAAGCAAAAGTTCCCCTAAGCTGAAACTATAAAATATAAAGTGTTGCAAAATCTGAGCCATCTTTAAATGACATTTCAGCTAAAAGTCGGAATGCGACATTCCCATTATAGATCGGATTCTCTTTTTTCATTCCATTTTCCCCCCAACCTTCCCATCACAGACTGGTTATTCCCAAAAGATCTACTGTGGAATCCCTGATAGAGCCCGCTTTAAAAATTCTGATGTGTGATGACTATTACAGGAACCTCGATGTATGAGGCGGGCGGTCCGTCGAGAAGCGCGTATGTCGTCTATCATATACGTCGGCGTCTGCCGTCTGAGTGCCTTCTCTACAAGCTGCCTTCCGATACCAGTACTGGTGATTCTGTGAGTACCCACCCTTTCTATTGTCATTGCGTCGTACAATAAACTACCTTTCCGACGAGAAGACAAAACTTCTCGAGAATTATGATCGATATAGTTCAAATCAAATTTAAAAATTATATGCATATTGCATGTGTATAATGCAAGTGCACTTTGTGCGCTTTATTTAATTTAATTGTATGGCGCCTGGAATACGAGTCAGCTGGGGGTGGCTGCTCACATTTCCCGGCGGACTTAGGACTTCCGCCATGATGCCCATGCCCGATGACGTGGTTGGATTTCTGGGTGGCTCGGATGGGCTGACGATCCTCCGAGGCCCTTCGGCTGATCTCCTCACTCCTCGAGGAGCGGCA